GGTATATTTGTAGCAATATCCAACAATACATTGTATGGGTCAAAATTATCGATTTTTCTTTTATGCCAAAAATCATTAGGATATTAAGTAAAGATCATGTTCCATGAAGATATTTTGTAAATTTCCTACCGTAAATATATCAAACCTTAATTTTTGATTAGTAATATGCATGGCTAAGAACTTCATTTGGACAACTTTAAAGGTGATTTTTAGGCGTATTACCACCCATTAATCATGGCGAAATCACTGTAACTCTTCTTTGTCTTCAGCTCAACTGGCGAAGCTCCAGTCTGACATGGAGGCTTTGCGTGAGCAGAGAGAGAACACTATCACCACCACCCGCGAGGAGCTCTACAGCGCCCAGGAGGAGATCCTGTTGCTCCGGCATGCCATGGAGGCCGCCACTGCTGAGCGGGAACGCGAGATCGCCGCCCTGCAGGGAGACCTGAGCGCCGTCGCCGCCGAACTGGACAAATGGAGACAGACGGCAGCCAAGTACGAAGTGGAGATCAGCAACCTGCAGGCCAGCTTCCAGCTCCAGAGCCAGCACCAGGAAAGAGCTAGCCAACTCCAAGGTACTCCACTGGTTATTGGCTGTTAGGAGCCCTAGCTGAGCAGAATCACTGTTAAACCCAGACCCGGTTCAGCGGTCGGGCCAGCTTAGCATGTCGTCATCGGCGCTCCTGCGGCGAACCTGCTGCGTCCCTCATGTGCTGTTTGGCTTGTAATGTTCCCTGGATGTCATAAATCAAGCTGACTTCAGAGGAACAATGGCTGAGATCATCACTGATCTCTCTCTTTTCTAGCGCCTTTGATTCCTAGTTGGAAACATTTGTTTCCTCTCATTTGCATTGTTTGAGTTCAGTTTTTCTGAGTGACTGGCCATGAGAAGAAAATTGAGTAAGTTAAATAAGTAAAAAATATGCAGTACTTTTTAAAAGATTGGGGTCAGTGAGATTTGTATTCAGCAAAGATGCCCTAAATTGATCAAAAGTGATAATAATGACATTTATAATGTTACAAAAGATTTCTGTTTCACATAAATGCTGTTCTGTTGTACTTTCTAATCATCTAAGAATCCTGAAAAAAAAAAAGTTTCCACAAAAGTTTCCAAAAAAAAAAATTAAGCAATGTTGATAATGAACAGCAAATCAGCATATTAGAATGATTTCTGAAGGATCATGTGACACTGAAGACTGGAGTAATGGTGCTGAAAATTCAGCTTTGATCACAGAAATAAATTAAATTTTAACATGTATTCAAGTAGAAAACAGTTATTTTAAATGTTAATATTTTTTCACAATTGTACTGTATTTTTAATCAAATAAATGCAGCCTTGGTGAGCAGAATAGATTTCTTAAAAACATTTTTAAAAAATCCCACAGACCTCAAACTTTTAAAATGGTAGTGTAAGTTCAAAAATTGAATATATGTTTCTCCACAACAGAGTGTAATGCATGTGTGTGTTGTGGCTGTACTATCAAAACAGCGTGATTTTAAATGTTTATTTGCTGTGTTTCTCTAAGTCTTTGCATTTCACAAGACTGATTTCTTCACGTATTGAGAAGGCACACATGCGGTATTAATTTCACTAGGGTCTTTCTCTCCAGGCCCGCTTTAATGTGTCATCCAGAGTCACGGAAACAGTTTTATTATCGTCCATTCTGCTGGGTTTATTTATTATTTATTGGATCCTCGTTTGGTTTTCACAGAAAAATGTGCATAAAAGTGTTTTGACAGTGCTTCTGAGATCTTTTAAAGCCATTTTAGGCTACACAGAATCTCAACCAGTAAAATTAAACACGACAGGATAAAATTAATACTAGCGATGTACCAAAATAAAAATTCCAATCTGAAACCAAAATGTCTGCCCACAGACACACTGGAGCGAAAGACAGGATGTGTTAAATTAACCTGTGTTTTGAATAACTATAAGTGATTTTGTTTTCATATTGTGTCATCACTTAAGTCAGATGATGGTTTTAACTGGTTTTATTATAGATTGCAGAAAATGAATTAACAAAATAATTTTTGCCTTGAGGGATTATAAAGTAAATCACGGTTCTCAACCAATCAGATTTGAGAACCAGAACGAACTGTTGTATAAATTTATATATTAAATAAGATTACACACACACACACACACACACACACATATAAATATTATGTATATTTAAAAATGTAATTTTCATTTTTTTTTTTACATTAATGAACTGAACAATGGTTACAGTTAAATACATTGTGTAATGAGGTGTTTGGGCAGTGAGTGGAGGTAATCAGTTTTATAATTAGTTTTTCTCTCTCTGTCTCTGTGTCAGGTGAATTGGAGAAGCTTCAGGCCGAGTGCTCTAGTCTGCAGAATGAATGTGACAGTCTGCGGGCTGAGAAGACAACACTGATGCAGAAACTCCACAGACTAGAGGAAGAACTCGACAGGTGGGTCGCATTCACACAAACAGACTTTGTGTCGTTTAGATCAATTCACACTACAAACATGAGTCACTATTTTTAAACGGGTTTCAAGTACATTATGTCAGATTCCACACCTGCTCTCTTAAATGAAGAATGTTTGAATCACCATATTGCACAACAACTACATCTCTTTGTATTTACAAAAGACTTTTTCATTGATACTTTTTTAAACAACTGGTTACCGTTGTAATATTTAAGCACCTTTGTTCTGTACTTAATCTCCACCCTAGGCTGTGTGTGTATGTCTCTGTGCTGACGTTATCGTTTTATAAGTCACCGTTATGAGCTCATCAGCCCTAAAGCTTCACTTCATTATTAGGAATGTTCTACAACATTCTTTTCCATGACATGCATTTATTCCATTCATTAGTTCATTTTCTGAAAACTCCACAGAATGTAAACAGCACAATCTTTGACTTTATTTTCCTTTCTTTGTTTTGCAGCTCCAGAGAGCGGAGTGCAACGTTGAGCAGCAGCCTAAACGCTCTGGAGAAATCCCAGGGTGACCTGGAGAATAAACTGGGCTCAATACGAGACCAGCACCAACAGGACGCTAGCAAACTGAAGATCCAACTGGCTCAAGCCGAAAGCCACACCAGAGACCTGCAGAAGGAGGTATGAGCAACCGAAGACCACCCAGACCTTTTATTGAAACCAAGTTGCCAAAATGCACAACCATAAACACATTCATTTCTTTTATTCAGCAAGGTTACATTAAATTGATCAAAAGTGACAGTAAAGACATTTATAATGCTACAAAACATTTATTATTCATCTCCACAAAAATATAAAGCAGCACAACTGATTTCAACATGTTTCTTGAGCAGCAAATAAGCATATTAGAATGATTTCTGAAGGATCATGTGACACTGAAGACTGGAGTAATGATGCTGAAAATTCAGCTTTGCATCACAGGAATAAATTACATTTTTAAATAGATTCACATAGAAAACAGTTATTTTATACAGTTATAATATTTCACAATTTTACTGTATTTTTAATCAAATAAATGCAGCCTTGGTGAGCAGAACACTTTCAAAAACATAAAAAAAAAACGTACACACCCCAAACATTTTTTTTGTTTGTTTTGGTGCAATGATTGCATAATCTCTCTCTTTCTCTCCAGTACGACGACACCCAGAATCTGCTCTCAGATCTCCGGCAGCAGTATGAGCAGACGGAGCAGGAGAAACACTCCATCAACGACGAGCTGGAACAGTGCAAGGTCAACCTCAAGTTCCTGCAGGAGAAGGGCAGCAATGTGAGTCTCACAGCCAGCACATATCATTTACAAAGCAACAAAAAAAAAACTCAGCCAGCATTAAGATCTTACTCCAATTAATTAGCTGTCGTCTACATTACGCCATTTAACGCGGTGGTCAGCATCCAGTGATAGATCTTACTTCACTGTTTTGCACGGCTCTGGAAAGCGCAGCAGAACACACATCTCACACGATTTTGTGAGTTGTTAGCAAATATTATTTGCAATTCAGCATTTGTAGGCATCATAGGTCCATTCAGATGTTCTATAATACCTTAAAAAGCTGTAGCTAAAATACACCGTAGTTTTCATTAGATATTGTTATTTTTTTATCAGCTCATATTGAGTATATATTTTAGGGCTGTCAAAAAAAAAAATCGAATTTCGAATATTCGTTGAATTTAAAATAAAAATCCACATTGAAATGTACTCTGTGTGATTGGCTTTCTGCCCTTTGTATTAAACTATGCATACATACGTACATACATGATGCTGTTTTGTTCATAGTTAAGCAACTTAATTATAATTGGTTTATCCTCAGAAGAGAAGCCAAAAGCTTTTCTTCACCCTAACTGAAATTATGCATTTTAAATTCGAATATAATTCGAATTATGATAATATTTAAGTACAAAATTCGAATTTAGTTTTTCAGCCATTTTGACAGCCCTAATATATTTATTAACCCCTCAAAGACTTGAGATTTTTCATTTTCAGGTTCACCCAAGAGAAGAATATTTTCCACTGTTTTTGACACATTTTCCTTGTTTTTGGCCATTTGTGCACTTCAGTTTTTCGAATGTGCTACACAAAACTGTAGTTATCACCTTAATATCCCACAATTCCTTTCCCTGCCGATTTGCAGTCACAATCACTTCATGTGTCGTTGATTTTAATTTAACACTGATAAATTGTAGATAAATTGTTCTTTAGTTGAATGCCAATAAACAGTTTATTGTTTGCTGTGATTTATTAATGCCTTGAACACTGTCCTCGTTCCTGACTTCCTGCTTCTAGATGTTTAAATGTGTTTGTGGTTCTGGGGCGTTTGATATTTTTGTTTGTGTTGATTTATCGATGGTCCCTCCCACCGCACCCCTTTTTATGGCCATTTTTGTTTGTATACGTTTGTATGTTTGTTGTAGTTGTTTGACTCCCCCAGCCTGATTTCCGTTGAATAGTTTGAAGATTGATTTTTTGTTTTATTTGTAATATCCCTTCCCTCCTCTAGCCATCCATATTGCAGCCTGTCCAAGCCATTTTCATCGGTCTATTCCTGGCTTTGCTGTATTGGTGCTTCGGCCAGTTGTGGTAGAAAGGTACACACGCTCCTGTTGAGTCTGTTTGTGTGTCTCCTGTATATCCACCTCTGTAAATATCATCACGTGTATATACGACCTGTGCATGGCAAACTCTCATCCATCATCTCTGCACTTGCTTCGCCCCAAAATCCCTTTTCGTTGCTTGGCAACACGTGGGAACTCTTAACCGATTCCTCATCCACCCAGAATCACCAACTACTAACCAAACACATTAACTGTCTTGTCTTGCTTGGATCAATATATTGGTCATATAAATCTCTGCATTTGGGGATTTTGAATGCTATTTTCTTTTTTTTGTTCTGTTGTGGGGTGTTTTTGTCATCATATCATCTTTCTTTTGCTGTTCTTCTTTACTTTTATAAATTAAAGGCATATTTCATCCAAAAATTAACATCCTGTCATCATGTACTCCCCCTGATGTTGTTTCAAACCTGTATGACTTGGTATCATTCAGAGAACACAAACGAAGAAGTTTTGACAAATGTTCATGCTGCTCATTTCCATGCAATGAAGGAATAAAGTGATCAGTGGCTGTCATACTGTGAAAATAACGACAGCATAATGACAGTCCATATGGACTCATGCATTATATATATATATATATATATATCTGTATATGTGTGTCATACAACAGAATTTTGTGACAGTCAGACATTGTCCCCTTTTTTATGTAGCTTATTCATGCTTTTGCACATTAAGACATGTTTTGCCATCAGTGGCACTAATTGCCATTGGTTCTTACTTATTCATATAGACTGCTTGTTCCCTTTTTTCGGGATGAGATTTTTTTTTTAATGCGGATTTCTGTATTTTCCAACCTGAAGTGTGACCAATGTAAATTGCATAAATCAGAGGAACAAAATAGCTGTTTCCAAGTTTTATGCCAAAAAAAAAAAAAAGCGTGTTTGTTTCAAAGCAAAAAATGCAGACAGCCAAGATAATTTTTATTTTAATATTAATAATATAAATATTGTATTTTTATTATAAGTTATTATAATAAATTATTATTATTATTATTATTTTGTAAAGTATTTAATTATCATTAAATACTTTTTTATTTTACAGTGCAATATTGCTCTTTCAATAGTAATGCATTTATTGATTTAATTTTTTATATTTTAAAAGAAAAATATTTTATAATAATAATTATTGTCATATATTAAAGATAAATTATTATTAAATTTTTAGAGATTGACAGCCCTTGGTCGCTGTACACTTTTATACAGGAAAAAAGCAGCATGAAAATTCTGCTATAATACTCCTTTTGTGTTCCACAGAAAAAAAGCAAAAAGTCATACAGGTTTGAAGCAACATGAGAGAGTAAATAATGTCCAACTTGTCATTTTTGAGTGAACTGTTCCTTTAAATGCAGTTTTTCTTTCTTTGAGTTTGAAGAAAGATGGTTGTGTTTGCTTTTATAACTCCTGTGGGGTAACTGGCTCTCCCAGTTTTACTTAAATATTTGCTTTACCTGTCTTCTCTCTCTTTCTCTCCGTTTTTTTGTGGTATTTCTCTTGCAACTCTTTGTCTCTTACTATCACCCAGGTCTCTCTCTGTCTTTAGCTCCAGTCTCCAGTGCTTCTGTCCTGGTTGCTCTGGTGCATCTTAAATAACCTTTATTAATTCCACTGCTGTTGTTTTTGTCATCCTCCTCGTTTCAGAGCGGTTGGATGCCCTGGATGCCGGTGGTTGCTGCTGTGGTTGCCGTGACAGCAGTGGTGCTTTATCCCAACTTGTCCAAGAGCTCCTCCTGAGAACCAATCAGAACACTCGTCTCTACCACCCAGCACGGCCCCCTGTCCAATCCCAGTGTCAGCTTTAGTCCGGCCACACGGTCTAAACCTGAACGTAATACCTCTTGTTTTGACAATACAGCCCCAATGTCTGTGTAAAATGCAAATGTATATAGTATAGAAAGAAAGAGGGAATAAAGTTGTAACGCATATTATAGAATAAATAATCTATCAGCATTTTTGTCACGAATGGAGTAGTGACCTAAAAAAACAAAACAAACGTAGCTTTTTACCAACACACTGTCTTGCTGTTTGGACTAAGATGGAGTTTCTGTCGTTTCAGTACTAAAACTCCTACAGTACCTCCTGAAAAAGGCTCTGGGATTTTGCTGCCTTACCTGTAACATAAGTTACTTCTTACAGAATGAAATTGGATGCAAAGGCTTTAAAATGAATGGGGTAAATGGGTGAAAGTGTCACAAATCCGCTCTCGTAAAGCACAGAAATGGGTGGATGTTTTTTTTTTTTTTTTAAGCTTATGTTTCTGTTTTTGTAGATATGCATTATGAAGCGTCTTTGGCATTTACAAGGCATATATTTGCTCTCGGGACAAGATTATAAGCGTTCCTTTCTCCTTGTTTCCAATAAGGTGTGGAATGTCTCGAATACCTTTGCTGGATTGTTCTTTTGTCTGGAAGTCGGGAGAGATCTGTAACTTGAGACTGCATGTTTCCTGCAGAACCACATTCTCAATGAAGCCTGATAGAGTGCCAGCTGGCTGCACCCACTGCCAAAGCTCATCGACTCCTGTCTGACACATTCAGGGGCCCGTGGGGGCCTCGCTTTGACATGACTGTGACATGTGGGCGTATAACCCGTCCTGACTCAGGACAGCAGCGATGATGGGAAGCTCCCCGCCCGTCTGATAAGACTCGACACACCCGTGCTGAGATTCATGCAACATTACTGTCGTATCAGCACTGAAGCGCATTAAAAAAACACGCTCTCTGTTCTTTAATAGCCTACTATTTCTGTGGCTCATACTTTTTTTGGGATTTGAACTGCTAAGCTATACAAACAGAACATGCTCGAGCAGCGTCTATAAATAAGTATAATTTAGTCTTGGTCATACTGAAACTACAGATATATATATATATAATATATAGGCCTATAGGCTATATATAAACGCCAACTTCCTCAGGCGAACCAGACACACAAGTAGCCTATATATAGTTTATTAGTTTCAAGATACACTCTGTAACTTTTTACAAGTTAAAGATAGGGTATGCATATGCCTCTGATATAAAATCATGTAATGAAATAATCAGCTATCAAACACGATATAAATGGAAAGAAATAAAACATCAGTTTACTAAATGCTGCAAAAAGAAAATTAAATGCATGCCTTTTATGACAAATTTGTATTTTCTCATTCATCAGACGGTTAGCTAACTGTGCCAGGAACATATTAAAGGCTATTTTAGTGGCACAAGATGAAAATCCTTTTAAAAATTCTTAACGATTAATTGGAAAATACATTGAAAGCATTGCTCAAAAGTTCTGTGAATCTCAGAAATAAAGCAGTACAGCAAAAAGTACAGATTCATTGTTAAATATGTGCCCTTCAGACAGAAAATGTGTCTCTGATTCCATTACACTGAATAAGTGCTGATCTCTAACAGCGACATCTTGATGATTCAGAAGCACCTGGAAATGTGATGCCAGCACTATCAAAAGATCTCATGCAATCTGCTTTACCTACAGTACGTCATCCTACAGATGAGTCGGGCCGTGTCTGAGGGCCCTGGTTTGGAGCAGCCTGTGGGTTTGAGTCCAGACAGACAGACAGAGGCTGTAATCTGTGCCTCAGACGCATTACTCAGCTCAGAAAGGTGAGATATTGTTACTAAAATCCTATCACTTCAGTCATTGCAGCCTTCCTCAACCGACTGATGCATCATCACCGTCACTGAGGTTAAAAACTAACAAAGAGCCGATGCAAATCATTACAGGACAAACATCGCATGCAGCGAACGCAACTCATATTTACTTCATAACATCTCTTTTGGTCTTTATTTAAAGGAATAGTTCACCCAAAACACTTAGGTCTTACCATATAGATGAGTTTGTTTCTTCATCAGATTTGGACGAACAGCATTGCATCACCCACCTGAAAATTTACTGACACTTAGGTCTTACCATATAGATGAGTTTGTTTCTTCATCAGATTTGGACGAACAGCATTGCATCACCCACCAATGGATCCTCTGCAGTGAATGGGTGCCGTCAGAATGAGAATCCAAACATGAATCCATAATTCATATGCTTCCTCCAGTGAAAAAGTCCATCTCCTGTTGTCCTCTCAAATCAAGAGAAATCAAGTTTTTTGTTTGTAAACAGTATTTGATCTGATCTGTGCAGATTTCTCACCTGATTCAGGAGAACATTCTTATATATATATATATATATATATATATATGTCATAAATTATAAATATATTTTATATATTATTAAAAATATAATATAATTATATAAATTAAATATTTTCTTATATATGTCCAGTTAGTAATTTTAGTGCTACAACTTAAACTTATTTAAACTTATTTCAGTTATTTGCCAAGGTAACATTTCCAATTTTCATTTAGTTCACTTTCTTATCCATATAATATTTATATTTTATTTTATCTCAGCTATATTTAAATCAACAAAAATAGTTTTACGTTAGGTGGGTTGACATAATAATTGTGGTCTCAGATGCTTTTGTCTATTTATTTCCTTGTTATTTTTTGTTATTTGTCTAGATAACAATTAGAAATGCGTTTATGCTTCAACCTTCTTTGTTATTATTTATTTGTAAAAAGATACATTGCAAAAAAAACAGTGTTAGGACAAATCAAACAGAGTAAGATAATAGTAATAGTATGCTTATGCTTCAATATCATTTAAGCAAAACATAAAAGAGTGTATGCAGATTATTTATTTTTTGTATTATTTTTATTATTATGTTTTACAGAACACAAGCAGCATTGCAGAGAAGTGTACAGGAGGTAGTATGAATGTACTTATATTTACTATTTGACTTATTTATTTAACTTGTTTTTTTTTATTTTTTACTATTATTATCCTCTTGCCATATACTTTCTTTTGAAAGAGCTACTAGGAGAGAGAAGGGTAGCATGCTGTAGAAATGCAGGTTGGGTTTGATGCTGCGCAGGTGGCGTCACCCGCGCGCCGTATATAACAGCGCAGGCGCGTCGCGAGACAGAAACAGTTCGGAATACAGGAGCGCACGAACGCATAGACACACGAAACACATCCTGAGTTATTAACCAGACAACATACACGAGTATTGAGTATTAAATCATCATGCCGGCCACAGAGAAGGACCTGGCGGACGACGCGCCGTGGAAGAAGATCCAGCAGAACACGTTCATATATATATATATACATACATATACATATACATATATACACACACACAAAGAAAACCCTTCATATACTGCGTATCTCTAGGTGTCACTATATTTCATCCAACAAAAAAGTACCAAACACTAAAAACTATAGTATTACCATGATTTTTGAGGGGTATTTCTATGTTACGTATCTATAGAGTATCTTGGAGTACCATGGTACACCACAGTACTTGATCAATAAACAGACAGGGGAAAAAATATAGAAATACTGTAACATTACCATGTTTTTTGGGACATGGACCACAGTCATACTATTTTTTGACATATATCCTAGTAAAATCCATGCATTCCTCATAAAACCATCTAGAGCCATATAAATACCATGGTACATGATTTTTAGAATGCTTTCGCAACAGCGAACCTCCATCTGATACCAACTTTGTAAGACACGAGTATTAAATCATCATGCCGGCCACAGAGAAGGACCTGGCGGACGACGCGCCGTGGAAGAAGATCCAGCAGAACACGTTCACTCGCTGGTGTAACGAGCACCTGAAGAGCGTCAACAAACGCCTCGCGGACCTGCAGCTGGACCTGAGCGACGGACTGCGACTCATCTCTCTGCTCGAGGTGCTCAGCCAGAAGAAGATGTACAGAAAATATCACGCCAGACCCACTTTCAGACAGATGAAGCTGGAGAACGTGTCCGTGGCGCTCGAGTTTCTGGACAGAGAGAATATAAAGCTCGTGTCCATCGGTGAGTTCAATGCCTTCTACTCACTAGTCCAGACGAAAGTGTCTGTGATGAACGGTTCACCCTTGTAAGATGACTGTGGTGTCCTGAAGCTAATTCGTATTAGTGTACCATGATATTTAGGGTGAACTCCGGTAAATCGGGACACTTTTGCCATTGAAGTGACTGGGAAAGTGGCCCAATTACCTCGAATTAACCCTGTGTGGTACAGCGAGGTACTTACATTTGCCAGATGAAATACCATGATATTTTACCATTTTAGTTTCTGTAATTGTTTGCTTTTTCTGGTTAAAATAAACACCCATTGCACACTGATGGTATCATATATATATAT